GAGGAGGCCCTGTGCAAGGAAATTGATCGAGTTGACTGCTCTCCCTTTACCGACGAGGTGGAACGCCAAAGCGGTTTACAACGCCATCCATCACTCCATGCAAGGGGGACTCTGACCCCGAGAGCCATTTGAGGCACTTCAAGAGCGCCATGATCCTGTACAAGGCAGACGACGCCCTGATGTGCAAAGTGTTTGCGATGACTCTGCGAGGAGCAGCTCAGGATTGGTTCCACACCCTACCGTCCGCGTCAATAGGTAACTTCAAGGAGTTCGCCATCATTTTCACAAAGGAGTACACCTTCTACAAGACGGTCAGAAAGCATGCAGACCACCTGTTCAACCTGCGCAAGAAGCCAGACGAGTCTCTACGAGACTACCTGAGACGGTTTAAGGCCGAGAAGGCTAACATCATAGGATGCGACGACCAAGTTGCATCCTCAGCTTTCAAGGGCTTGCCAACCGAGCACGAGCTATACCGGGAGCTGGCCATAACTCCAAGTCAAACCTTGGCAGAAGTGTTCGCGACGGCGGAGCGCTACGCACTTTGGGACGATGATCGTATCTCCGCAAAGAAAGCTAGCAAGCAAGTTGACCACTCGACGAAGCAGGCAAGCCAAAAGAGCAACAAGTTCGAGCAAAAAGCCCGAGATAAGCGCAGATCGCGACCCCAAGAGGAAAGCTCAGAAACAGGGACCTTCACTGAATTCGCTATCCCAATCAACCAGATCCTAGCTCAGGTGAAGGACAAGCCGTGGGTGAGGAGACCACCACCCATGAAAGGAGACCCCTCTAAAAGAGACACCAGCAAATACTGCGCATTCCACGGGGAGCACGGTCATTACACCAACAACTGCAACGCTTGGAAAAGGCACCTTGAGGAGCTGGTCAGAGAGGGCCATTGCACAGAGTTCGTTGCAAAGAAGGCTATCCAGCAGATCGAGGATCGTGATGTAGCTGCCAAGGAACCTCCCCAAAAGGTCATTCGAATCAACACCATTCTAGCCGACTCCCAAGAGTCCGAGCTGACCACCAAGGAGCGCAAGAGAAAGATCGCGCAGGCAACTTATGTCTCCCAAGTCACAACGGGAGTACCAGCTGTTGGGGATACACCTATCATACCAGTAATGTAAGCTGCCAACGAGGCAAGAAGCGCTCCTAGCAGACAAGCAAACCCGAAAGGGAAGGGAGTTGATGCCTCACAATAGCAGCTAAGGAACCAGGATCAAGGTGAAGAAATCAGCCCAGAAGACTCCCCTGAAAAGGGTTGGAAGCCTGAGGATGACGTTGAGTTAGTACCCCCTGATCCTGGCCAGCCAGACAAAGAGGCGCAGATCGGCTCGTGCTAGAATCCAAACGAGAAGGATCGAGACGAGGGAATCCACCTGGAAGGCTCCCTTGAAGAAGGTTGGAAGCCTGAGGAAGACGTTGAGTTAGTACCCCCCAATCCTGATCAGCCAGATAAGGAGGCGCAGATCGGCTCGCGCCAGATTTCAAACAAGAAGGATCGAGATGAGGGAATCCGCCCGGAAGGCTCCCTTGAAGAAGGTTGGAAGCCTGAGGAAGACGTTGAGTTAGTACCCCCTGATCCTGGCCAGCCAGACAAAGAGGCGCAGATCGGCTCGTGCTAGAATCCAAACGAGAAGGATCGAGACGAGGGAATCCACCTGGAAGGCTCCCTTGAAGAAGGTTGGAAGCCTGAGGAAGACGTTGAGTTAGTACCCCCCAATCCTGATCAGCCAGATAAGGAGGCGCAGATCGGCTCGCGCCAGATTTCAAACAAGAAGGATCGAGATGAGGGAATCCGCCCGGAAGGCTCCCTTGAAAAAGGTTGGAAGCCTGAGGAAGACGTTGAGTTAGTACCCCTCGATCCTCACCAGCCAGACAAGAAAGCGCGGATCGGCTCGCGCCTAAGCCCAGACGAGAAGATGGAGCTGACCATCTTCCTCTAGAACAACAAAGACATGTTCGCGTGGTCACCATCTGACATGCCTGGCATTGACCCAAACATCATCTGCCACCGGCTCCATGTCAACCTTGCCAGCAAGCCCGTGGTGCAGAAGAAACGCAACTTTGCTCGAGAACGGGTCGCGATCATTGAAGCCGAGCTCGACAAGCTCCAAGCTGCCGGTT